TCCGTTTCTCCCTCACCCCCCTTTCTCTCTCTCTCTCTCTCTCTCTCTCTCTCTCTCTCTCTCTCTCTCTCTCTGTCTCGTCTATGTTTGTCGTCTCTTTGTCTTTCATCCTCTATCTATTTCTGTCTTACTCACCATGCTCTTCGGTGGTGATAATTTCTCTCTCTGCTGCTCACACTCCAATTCGCTCCCTCGCGCAAAATCGTATATACACGCACACACACAACGATGCTCATCTCTCTCTCTCTCTCTCTCTCGAGTGTATTCGACTAGACTCGATTAAGTTTATCGCGATTAACGATAATTAATAACGCGTTACCGCGGAAAGTGCAGAGCCGCGTGCTGTGAGGGCGGCGATGGAGGGGGGGTGCAGATATACAGCGGAGGCTCTCGCGCGCCACTGCTCGCTCGTTCCTCGAGATTAATGGTTAACCGGGGATGTTAATGACGCGAATGTGCAAGGAGGCGGCGACGTCGAGCAGGTGGTAGCTCCGTGTGTACCCTCTTGCCTCGCTTCGTAAGAAGGCCAAGGTGTAAAAAGAAAAATAAAAGGGGGGTGAGGGGAAGGAAAGAAAAAGGAAGAAACGGAAGCGAAAGATAAAGGAAGAAACGGAGAAGAAGAAAAAGTAACAAAACGTAACTTCGCATATAACGAAGCAAGACACGGACAAATCTGGCAAATGATGTCAAATTGCCGGCAGCAGAAAGAGGAGACGCCGCGGCAAACGCGGTGCGTTTGCACGTGGAGGTACATACATGTACCGACGGCGATGCTAAATGATCGCCAGTCGAGCCTCGAGGAGTCGACTGTTAAGTAACGACGCAACAGAACGGTCTCTTTGGTAAAATGCTCGTTTACCGCAATTATGACCGCCTCATCGCTGCCACGCTAACGACCCCGTTCGGCCCTTGATAGCCGATGAAAGACACTACGCGTTCTACGGAATTCTAGAAGAGAATTTCCCTCCTCGTGGTGTCGCAACCAGCCATGTTATTAGCATCCCGCGTTTCCGGTTCGACTCGCGCGAGTTTCCCGCAGTAATAACAGCCGCGGAATTACCGTGAACGAGCGAGGTTATCCCTCGAAGACAGGCTTTTGCAACTCCTTTCAGTCGTGTCTCGTTATTGTCTCGTTGAACTTTTGGTTACGATTGTTTGCAAAGGTCAATTGCACCGTCAGAGGAGAGATCGCTGATACGCGAAAGAGCAACGTTATAGATCTTTTAGATTTTTCTAAAACGTTTAAAGCTTTTCGCTGTTGTTTGAAATTCTTAGTCTCGAACGATCGTAGTTTCGTAACCGGATGTTTTAATCTGTTTCGATGGCGATGGCTTCGCGAGCGAAGTATACTATAAAGTGTTGTCGAGTGTGAAATGTCGTCGCTCGCCGGTATTGGAAATTTGTCCTTATCGTCGGGAAAGCGCACCGGTACCAGACATCAACTTATTGGCTGGCCTGTTATTTCCACTGAGAGCGTCAAAATGATGAAACGACTGTATAACGACGTTAGGCGTGATATTATGCACAACGGAGAGGGGCATATTTCTCAAATAACGGGCCGCGTTTCACGCGTGACGCTTCGTTCACGTTAATTTATCGGATTCGCGGAAATATAAATCTTGAGAAACTCATTTTCGCCTTCCGGCTCGAACGTTCCAAGTCATCGTTGAGAATTAGCCATTAGAAAGTGTAATCAATCGTTTGGTTCGCAAAGAAACACGTAATTCCTTATGCCCTTGATGTGTGTCGTTATGTATCAACGGCTCGTGACTTATATTTTTTCTGAAAAATCCATGGTAGTTGATAGTTTCAAGTAGACTGCGGATTTTTATGCATTTTCGGATTCAGGAACTCGTTTCAACTAAATTTTGCAATAGAAATTTTGCTCTACTCTGTTTCGTACTCGTTTTATACAAAATATAACATTCTGTTTGGTTGGCCAAGAAGTAACTGCGTCTCTCTTTTTTTTTCTGAAAGCAAATGAAAGGTAAATTTTTCACGAGGAACAAAAACTTTATGTATACTGTACATTTTGTTCGATTACCTTTTGCCATCTTTCAGTCAACTTCAAAGTTCTTGTCTTTTCCGTCGTAGAGTTTCAAGAATACATCACCGTGCGCGTTGGATAATTTTGTACGAGCTTGTACAACGTTTCCTTTTTCTTCTTTTTTCTTTTTTTTAGAAATATGTACACCAAAATTGTTGATTGCAAATAAGCTCGAATAGTTAACCAACTATCAAGTTCGATTTAAAATATTGTTAATGTACATTTTCAAGATACGTATGTATGTCTATCTATTTCCATTCTAAGGCAATTATTTTTTGACCAACCCAGTGTTTAATAATATCGTTCCATTTTCTGTATTTTGCGCCTTTGTCGTGTGAGAAATGCAGAAAAACCCGCAAGTCTAGCAACAAGTGTTCGCACACTACTACATGCCAGCAATTAATCTTCTCTGTTGCAGTATTACGAGATGTCGTACGGCCTAAACGTGGAGATGCACAAACAGGTAAGTTGTTTCGACTTCGTCACGTGAAATCACGTACGAGATTGTGTACGGTATTGCCTCGGTGTGCGAGATTCGCGAGCCGACCGATAGAAATACGATTCGCGCGCGTGTACATATATCGCGTACCGTACCTACTCGCTCGCGCTCGCTTCTCTCCTCGCAATCGCGCGACACTCTTCATACGGCTCGAAGACCCGCGCCGCGTCGTGTCGTTTAAACGTCGCGTGTTTGCCGAAGTCATTAAATGGGATAAGTTTGTCCTGTGTACACGGCCGAATAAACATTTGCCGCGATGACTCGGCGACACAAGGCTCTCTTTCTCTCCTCCCCCCTCTCGAGAGAGTTGCAGCCGCCGCTTTCGATTCCGTTTGCAAGCTGCTGTTCCGAGAAGACGCGCGCGTACCGATAAACTGGTAGCCCGTACACGCCGCGAGCCTTTGTTTAAAGAAATTCGTAGCATTGCCACGGGGAATCCCGTCGATCGGTAAATATACGCACGTTGAAAAACATTTCGGTGATTGCACAAGTTGCGTAGGAAGTTTCTGGATTTTCTTCCTCGGTATTTCTTAATTATTTTGAACAAGATTAACGGTGGAATTAATATTTGCAGATAATTGGTTAGCCGACGAATTAGAATTTAACGTGTTTTAATATGCAGTTGGAATTAAAAGTTGAAAGTTATTCGACGAATGGGACAACGAATATTATAGTTAGATACGGATCAGTTTTTAACACATTGCGCACCGTACTCGGCGCGCCCAATCTGTTCCCAGGGCCCGCACATTTTCGGAGCAACAGGGAAACTTTGTACAATGGATATATGCGCTTCTTCAATTCACATTGACAAAATGTTCTTAAATATTACTATATATTTTTTATAGTAATATCTAAGAGTCTGTTTATTATGTATTTTAGAATTTAACTATTATTTATTTTATATTTATACTAACACATTGAGGACGGTGTGCTCTGACAAACATATAGCCTGTGTTTTCTCGTACTTTTTGAATTATTTAATGTATGATTGAAAGGGTTCAAGAGAATGTATGGCATTTAACAGGTGTATTATTTTATTAGTAATTAAAATTATTAATTATTTTTCATTTTAGAGGTATTTTATTAAACTGAAAATACCTCTAGTAACATTTCTTAATGTGGTGAAATTGTTAGGAAACTACTTCTTGAAAAATTATATAACATTATAATATATAAATATTATATAATATAAATTATACATGACGTTGCTCTGGGCCGTGTCCTCTACAACGCAAAAAAGCGAAACACGAGAGTCGTCTCCCGTCTGCAACAGTTGACAACTGAAAGACGCGAATTCGCGTCTCCCGTCCACAATGTGTTAAGTTAACATTTGGTCGCAAAAATTATTCCAAAATTGCAATATTCTCCCAATTTTAAGTACATTGAAATGTAACCCAGGCAAAACGAATGATAAACTTGTTGTGTTAGTAATTTCTATCCAGTGATATACCGATGAATTCAAAAAGAGGACGAGTTATTGTATATACGGTTTTGGTCACTCGTTATGGTCCGCGAACCGGTTACTAGCGCAAGAGGATTAAAAATCAGCAGGATCGGAGATCGTAATAAGAATTTTTCTCTCCTTTCCGATCCTTCTTTTTCTTAATTATTCTTTCTCAATTCTTATTTATTCTATCATAATTGTTATTCTTATGTATTTCTTAATTATTTCGAGTAAGATCAACTGCAAAAATTAATATTCGTAGACAACTTGGTGACAATCGGTTAATCGATTCCCAGCCACGAGAAAAATATCTCCGCATTGGTTTTGCCTCTGACTCAATAATTGGCGCGGTTTGCCGAATTTTTCTCGATCGGGGCCACGTGGATGGGTACACGGCTCGTTTCCTACGCAAAGACGACGGGAACCACGTAGATGGGGATCGGCTCGTTAAACCGGTGAAACCGAGCCGTGACGCGCAGCTTTTATACGCGTCTCGTTAATCATCCTCCTTATGTCTGGCTGCGTCGCTTATTTCCGCGGTGCTTCCACCGCCTCTTACGAGCTTCTTGCGACGAAAATAGAGACGCAGCCAGTTTCGTGCTAGAAATATACGCCGGTTCGATGAATGTCGTTTGCTTTCCGCGTATTTCCTTTGCAGAATACTGCTGAAATATTATTATACACACATATATAACAAAAAAGATTAACGAAACGACTTTAGAGTTATTTCATTTTCGGTAGATAAAAGTCGACTGTGACGAGATTGATTCGCGACAAGATTACGATAACTCGATAGATGAAACGTGGAGATTGGAACTTTTTGTCGAGCTGAATTTTTGCAGCAATTATGATCGAATTTTTTTCCATTTTCTTTATTTTTTTCACATATCAGTACGCATATTATTACTTGTACACGTATTAAACCCCCCTCCTCCCCCCCAAAAAAAGAAATGATACTACTTAACAACAATGAATAGCCACACAATCGCTAAAATCCAATTTTTCCTCGTCATTGCGTGGAATCCGTGTTCCGACATTCGTGCAACAAACGTGCACAAACGCCTGGGCAATTAAGAACGAGACGCAATCGTTCAAAACGAAACAGCCTGGAACGTAATTTCGCGGCGGCGTTCACCGTTCTTTTGCACGTCTAATTTTCGCTGCGCCGTGCGTTAAAAAGTGTCCACGGTTAAAACGAAACTCCACTTACGAAAAGAGAGAGCCCGGCCAAAAATATTTTCCGTCTCTTCTCGGGGGGAGCCAGCTGGGAAGCATGTGTTCGGCCGCGAGAGAGCGAAATAAACGCCTCGCGCGTTCCTCTTTCGTGCGCTTTGTTGCCGGCGCGTTTCACTAAGCGCGTAGCTCTCACGCGTCGACCGATCACCCACCGTGTCAAGTTAAAAAAAAAAAAAAAGAAAAGAAAGAAAGGAACGAACCGTGACCGGGAGGACCCTCTCGCGCAATTCAGCGGATATGAGTGAAAAATATCGCAAGTCACGAGTCGTCACAACGCTAACAAGTTTCGTCAACGCGCGGCGAGATGGACGAGGTAAACTTCTCGTAAATTTGTAACAGATTACAAGTGAACAGATCGTTCAACTTGGGGCGAAGTTAAGCAAAATTATAAAATGAAAGTGAGCCACGACTCGTAGCGTGAAAATTGCGCGCGGGGATCGTCTCGGTATTTTTGATGTTGAATCAATTGAGTTTCTTGGAAGAACCTTGAAAGAGAAACTTAATTGCAAATTCATATTAAATACGAAGGTTTTCTCATTATTTTAAGGAGGTATTCTGGTAATCCGGCTTGTAAAATTCGACTTTTTGGGGATTTTTTTCTAAAGAAATCATGATACATTTTGGTATACAGTTTTTGCATACAGATTTATTCATACTTGAAGAGTATTTACAATTTTTTTTTTAACGAAATTAATGAAAGCTGTGGGAATTATATAGCCGTAGGTAAAGCATGTTTTTAAAAACGGGTTCGAATGGCTGACGTGATTCCGGTCCATCTGGTTATTTGAAACTGAAAAACCAAAATGCATCTTAATTAGTATAAATATGGCTATCGAATGAACCACGGAAACAGCGAAATTTCGTAAATTAAAAAAATGGCAGCATTCTGAAGTTTAAATATCGATTTTCCTTGTGCTTTTCGTCTTTTGGGTGGTAAAAAAAAAAAAAAAAAAATATAAAAAAACATTAAATTTTGAAATTAGTGATTCATGCGACAAAGCTACATCCGATGAAGATCTCTTCCAAGTTTCAAGTCAATCGGTCAATTAAAATGTAAGATATCCCGTCAGCCAGTTTAAAAAATATGGATTTGAGGAAAACACATTTGAAGTTTCTGTTACCCGTTGTAGAAAAATATTCATACTTACAATCAATCGAGCAATACAGAAAATAAAATATTATAAAATAATAATAATACAAAAATAAATAATAATATAAAATAAATAATAATATAAAATAAATAATAATATAAAATAAAATATTTTTTTAGAAAAACACATTTGAAGTTTTTGTTACCCGTTGTACAAAAATATTCATACTTGCAATCAATCGAGCAGTACTGAAAATAAAATATTATAAAATAATAATAATACAAAAATAAATAATATAAAATAAAATATTTTTTTAGAAAAACACATTTTGAAATTTTTGTTACCCGTTGTACAAAAATATTCATACTTACGTTGCGAGCAGTACACCGTTTCCTTTAAACACCTATAACTTTTCAAACAAATCCTTTTACATGGACATTTTCGAAAGCATACACTTTGAAGAGAAAATGTAAAAACAAAAAAATAAAATTGATTCTTTTAAGCCGGATTACCAGAAGATACCCCCTTAATATTTCAACTGATCAAAAAGCGTATCATAATAATAATACGAGAATATCTTTCCTTTTTTTTTTTTAATTATTAAAACAATTTAATTTCCACGAGAAAATTATTGTTCAATTATTGACAGATCTATCTAAAACCGACCGTCAAACTAATTTCTACGCTCAGTATTATTAATCGTCGAGTTTCCGCGATGGACTCCAAGTTCGTGCGCCCTCTGTTAGATATTTATCGCGAATGGACGGTTGCTCATTAACGAGCGTTTCCCCATTGTTTCTTTTTCAGGCGGAAATATCGAAGAGACTGAACGCCATCATCGGACAGATCCTGCCCTTTCTATCTCAGGAGCATCAACAGCAAGTCGCAACTGCTGTTGATAGGGCGAAACAGGTCACGATGACGGAGCTGAACTCCATAATTGGGGTAAGTGCGCGTCATGCTTCGTAATTGACTAATTTTCCAACGAACCAGAGTGGAGGTTGCTCGATCGGCATTACGCGTCAGGATATCGCAACAGGTGCATCGTGAAATTACGCGCCTCCTTGGTGGAAAAGGTTTGCCAATTATTTTGATAATTCGCCGCGCAAAAACTTCCATTCTGTCGTCGACGCGATGATCGAACGGAAGTTTGAAGAATCTCTTCGAGTGAGATATTCATCGGTTTCTAAATTTTTCACTGGAGGGTTTTGTCCCGTGCATCACGACGTTTACGTTAGAAAAAAAAATACAGTATATATTTTTTTAAATTTTCTGCCTCAAGATCGATGTGAAGCTTCGAAAGTAACTCGTTATTATAATTTTATTAAATCGGAAATATAATAGATGTAATTCATAGACTAGAAAAGAACATATATAATTTCTCTAATCTCTTAATAATATTAACAATAATAATAACAATAATAATATTAAACAATAATCTAATCTCTTAATGATATTAACAATAATATACGTTTCAATTTTTGAAATAACTCGAACGTTTCCAAATAATCTTGTCCTGCTGAATTTCCTTCTCCGTAGTCGCTGCATTTTGTTCATATTTTTTTTACGTGCATTCGCCACGTACAAAATATCATTCAAATATCAGTCAGGGGAATAAATCGACAAAATTCAGACATTTACCCCGTCAAAGATATACATTTATACGTCCGACAAGTTTTGATTTAATTACTACAAAATCTTCTTACTTTCATGTTAATTTAATCGCTGAAAAAATACTTAATCTTTCGTATACTTGCACGACTAAAGAGTTAATAATCCTAAGTAATTTATGGACACAGATTGACACAAAATTTCTCGAATGGAACAGAATTTGGGCTACGACAAATAAAACCAAAATACACGACATAGCACACCATTTCTACCAAAAAATACCAAACAACAATATAAGGAGAAAAGAAAGGATAGCTATGACTAGACACTCCAAGATCACACACGAATCATCCTTCCTAAGCAAAACAGAACCACCTTTCTGCAACACCTGCAACCAACAAATCACCACCCAACACCTGCTACATGAATGCAGAAAATACCGAAACATAAGAAGTAAATTAAACCAAAACACCGCTCTAACCTGCCAGAAACAACAGAAAAACGTTATCAACTACCTAAAGGAGACCCAATTACTAGACAAGATATAAAGAGAAAATTTCAGCACGTCGCTAAAGATCTCGTAGCCGATGCGACTCAAAACCCCCATATGAAAAAAAAAAAATTTCTTACATCTTTCGTATCTTTGCGAAGTTACGTAGGTAGGTAGAAACCTAATCTAAACCGCGAGACAGAATCTCCCCGATATTTCGGAGAGGGAAAAAAAAAAAAAAAAAAGAAAAGAAAAAGGCTCAAAAACTTACTGCAGCAGGCAAAACACGGGGCAACTCTACACGCGCAAGCGGGTAATTTAAGATCGTTAAGGTCGGTCAACTGACTCGCGACGAGTTTCCACTTGAAAACAGAAATTTTTCCACTTGAAAACAGAAATTTTTTTTCGCCCTTTTACCTTCTCGCGACAGAACAAGATCGCCGTGCGTCGAGCTTTCAATTTTACACGTGTAATGTAAGCCCGTCGGATCGAACCACGCGGACCGCATGCGTATTCACGTGCATGCGTTGGAAAGGAAAATAGGGTGTAGGCACACGGCTGCGTCGTGTTTCTTCGCGTCTCGTGTACGACAGACTTCCGGTGGGAAACGTTTTTCTCATACTCATGGGCTGCGAGCGCGCTCTGGTGATAGCAGGGTCGACGAATGCGAAATTGGCATTCGGCCGTCGCGGCACGTATAATTGAGTTCCGAGTCGGTTCTCTCGCGTGCACGACTTGAATAATTCCCGATCGCCTAAACGAATGCACGGCCCTCGTCACGTCGTCCCCTGACACGCTTGAATTATTCTTTCTGCACGCGCCGCCGCTCCGTACCACGGGTTTTAGAAGTGCGCGTTGAGGATTCCGGCGACATTTGGTAATTATATATATAATATATATAATAATAAAAATATATATATATAATATATATAATAATAAAAATATATATATATAATATATATGATATATACATAATTATTCTTTATGCACGCGCCGCCGCTCCATACCACGGGTTTTAGAAGTACGCTTTGAGAATTCCGGCGACATTTGGTAATTATATATATACAAAATTATAAATACAGGACGAAGAGATGAAGATTCTTTTACATATCAAAATAATTTTATCTAACACTGGAACGATAAAAATTTTATCTGAAAGATTGGAGTGCAAATACGAGAAGGTTCATAAAGAACACGGAAACTTTCATTCATTTTGCTCTATGTTAAACACTGGAACTACCGACAATAAGAATTATATCCGAAAGATTGAAGTGCAAGGAATGATAGAAAGTTTGCAATGCAATAAAGAACGCGAACAGAATATTCGTATATTTTGTAAAAATTCGACGTTGTAAATCTGCAAAATTACACTAAAACTATTATAAATTGATCATTTTGACTTGATACAATTGCAGTTAATACGTGCACGTTTTCAATAGAAATTGATTATTGGAAATTTTTGTTAGTTAGCAAATTAGATTAATCTCTGTCCGACTGGTATTAAATTGTTTGACGAATCAAGAACACACGTTTAACGAACTGAGCCATATTGGTAATTACAGGGAGCAGTGGCTGTGAATTACGAGTGAAAGAAGATATATTTTTGTTACCAAAAAAAGATGCTTGATTTCTCTTTTCAATGTCCGATTTCAACATCTTCATCCACTTCCTTTTTTTTTTTTTTTTTTTTGCCATCAAGAGATTTATCATGTTATTACTGGCTGAGAGAGAGAGAGAGAGAGAGAGAGAGAGAAGAGAAAAATAAAAAAAGAAAAAAAAAGGAAAAGGAACGGTTATCTGCCGCAATCGGCACGAACAAAATCAGAGACGGTCAGTACGGGGCCGTCCTCGATTTAACGAGCGCAGGCCTGACCGCTACAAATCGTCCGATCGAGGTCGTGACACAAACCGCAATCTGCAGTTGCGTAATACGCGTCATCGGCATGTGGGGACATAATCAGCGCGTGCACTCAGCGCCGGCTAGTGGCTAGTACAAGGTGAAGCCGGCAGCGTTGAACACGTGCACGTGCACTCCTCTCGTTCGCACATACGGGTTGCTGCACGCTGATATAGCCACCAAGGGTAGAGCGTGTTCCTACGTTCCTATTTCCCTCCCTTCTCGGTTTCCTAGGGTCGGAAAACAGGCTAAATAAAGACGAGGAGACCAAGTGGAGGCAAACCGAACGAGATGGAAAAAGACGGGTACACACACGTCACCATATATATATATATATATATATATATATATATATATATATATGATATGCATATAGGAAAGGATAAGCGCGGCAAAGACCAACGTAGAAACGGTGAAAGAGAGACAGAGAGACGATGGGATAGAGACAAAACACGGAGAGCAAGAGGGGCCAAAGGCTGAAGGGACGACAGAGGCAAATAGACATAAGCGCCAACCCCCATGAATATGTATTACTCGGTAAACAGGGGTTGAATCAATATTTCGTTTAATAACACTGCACGCTGGAACGCAATTCTCCCTGCCCTGTTTCTCCCTCTCTCGCCTTCCACTCGCCCTCGGTTCCTCGTCTCCTTTGTATCTGATTGGACCTCTCTGTTTTCACCCTGTCTCGTTCGGTCGCTCGTTCCCTCTTCTTCTTGCGCAGCCTTCGTACAGCAGCGGTGCCTGCCTGTTCGCACGCTTTCCTGCACGCACAGGACAGGACAGACAGACAGACAGACAGAGAATAGCCAGCCAACCAGCCAGCCAACCCTACCTACCTACCTACCTCCCCCCAGCCAGCCAGCTAGCCAAAAGGGGGATGGGGTGGGGTTGCATTTGTACAGGCGCGCAGGATATTCCCTGACACGTATTTAAACGCACAGGTATGGACGAGTCGCACCTCGGGCAACGCGCCGGACCCGATCCTCCCCTCAGGCACCAGGCCAGGCCAACCCTCCCTTTCCGCGTATTATTCACGCCGCGTTAAACCTCGTTTGGGACTATTACGTTTCGTTTGCCGCGCTGCACGAACGACGACGCCGGCCCTCCCTGTCCGTTCTCTCTCCGTTGCTTCGAATACGAATTGAATACCGTAGGCAGGGTGGATGGGAGAGTTAGGGGAAGGTGGAAAGGGGGAGAGGGCGGGGGTAGTTCGTGCATCGTGCCTCCACGATCTCGCTTGTGCTCGCATCTCGATTTTCCCCGTGTATACGCCGCTCGCTTCTCGATTTTTTCTTCCCCCTCAAGTGATCAGGATCATCTGCTTAACGTCGTCGATCGTGTACGCGGGGACACTAGGGAAATTTTTTAACGACGACAGATCATTTGCATGAATTTGAGAAGAACGGGGAAAAAATGAATGTCGAATTGAGTTGAAAGAATTTTTAAGTCTGGACTTAAGAGCTGTTAACCTCTTGCCCTCGAATGACGTGCGCACGCACGTCGAGAATTTTTTGTCCCAAACCGGCAATAATATTTCTCAGTTTTAAGTATTAATTATAATTATATTTTGTATATATATTTAAGTATAATCCAGGCAAAACAAATAAGTTTATTACTTCTTAATAATTTCTATCCAGTGATGTCATACCGACGAGTTCAGAAGAAGAAGAAGAAAGTGACAAATTATTGTATACGGTTCGGTCACTCGTTATGGTCCGCGAATCAGTTACTAGCGCAAGAGGTTAAAGTTAAAATCAGCAGGATCAGAGATAAGGTTTTTTCTTTTTATTAATTATTCTTTCTTAATTCTTATCTATTCTATGCTAATTCTTATTCTTTAAATATTTCTTAATTATTTTGAGTAAGATCAACTGGTAAATACGTACGTTAAAAAATATTTCAGAGATTTCAAGTTGCGTAGGAAGTTTCTGGATTTCCTTCCTCGGTATTTCTTAATTATTTTGAACAAGATTAACGGTGGAATTAATATTTGCAGACAAATTGGTTAAGTCGACAAATTAGAATTTAATGCATTTTAATATGTAGTTGGAATTAAAAGTTGAAAGTTATTCGACGAATGGCACAACGAATTTATAATCAGATACGCAACAGATCAGCTTCAAGTTAATATTTGGTTCCAGAAATTATTACCAAAATTGCAATATTTTCCCAGTTTTAAGTACATTGAAATATAACCCAGGCAAAACAAATAATAAACTTGTTATGTTAGTAATTTCTATCCAGTGATATATCGATGAATTCAAAAAGAAGACGAGTTATTGTATATACGATTTGGTCACTCGTTATGGTCCGCGAACCAGGTTGCCAACGCCTGTTGACGCGAGAAATTTTTCCATTAGATCAACGGATCCTTCTTAACATGTGTAGTCAATCTTGTATAACGATTTTGTAATAGTCCGTCTTATTAAGGGAAATTTTCAACGACGACAGATCATTTGTGTGAATTTCAGGAGAAAATGAATTTCGAATTAGTGAAAATTTTTCTATTTTCCAATTTTTCGTGGAATGCTTCTCACATAACGATTCATAAATTGAAGAGCTCGAAGAATGAAAACAGCTTGCCAATTACAAACATACGAGCTTTCAAATGTTATTAGCATTTTAATCGACTTGTACGATACTACTGTATATAACCGCGACTATATAGTTTGTAGTTGAAACTTTGTCAAAAATAAGCAGACGAAGCAACCCTGGTTGCTCGTTCTTGACTATGTTTCATTTTTGTCGATTTTCCTTTGCTAAACAGGGGAAATGGCTCGACGTTTACGTTTGTTTGAAGAACGATACGGTGGCGTGAACTTCGATCGGGACTGTCGAAATTTAGATAACCGATACGTTTTTGTTACGCACGAAGCGACGATGAGAATGATTATACGTTGCGGTGACAATGGCAGACATTGTACACATGGTATAGCGTTGGAAGTAAAAAATGGTAATTTATGTAAATCGTATTCTTGAAACTGGCGGAAATATACGCGGCAAATTGTGATACAGTGGCTGTGAATCTACTGATACGCGGCAAATAAGCCGTTAATAAAATATGTTGATTATTCAAGTTGGCGCAACGACGTCAGCCGGTGTTGTATTTTTGGCAAATTGGTTTGAAATACGCGTCTTAATATCGGGAGCCGTATTTCTGTCATTCGAAAGCGGCGTGCTTCAGAAATGCTCGAGCTAATTTTAGACGAAGCGAAAGGTTATCTCGGCCATTTGATAAAATTATTTAGCGTTCGATTGTTTCTCGGGAAAAATAAACAGTTTCGTACACTTGCCTTTCGTGGTTAAAATATCCTATCGGGCAAACAATGTCTGAAATAGAACAAATTTTTAGCGATCGTGACAGTTGGGTAATCGTCAACACACAGCTGCGCTATTAACTGAGGTCGAAATTCTTTGTTCCGAGGATTAAACTCCACTCTGTTCTATTCTAGTTTTGACATTTCCTTTTTATTTATATAATCGATCGTTAAAGGCCGGTGAAATTTTCGCATTCCGAACGGCGTCATCAATTTTATTGATATTTATTCACAATTAATCATTGTCAATACTTTTGATACAAATTAAGTATTGTATTCACACATACATATACATACGTGTGAATACACAAGGAACATCGGTGTTCTATTCGATCCAATTAAAAACAATTTTATCTTTGTCAATTAATCCCACGATTTGAAAGTTTCCACTCGGCGAATGTTTAAAATTTCTCCAACGCTATACTTCGCCGATCAATCTCCACAAAGCGTTCCGGAAAAAAAAAGAGAAAAAAAAATATAGAGGAAGAAGAAAATTCCATAGCAAATATCGGGCGAAACATCAAACGCCGCGCAAACCGTTTAGCATGCGCGTCGATAAAAGCTTCACGGTTGCCTCGAAAAAGCCGGGACGTTTCTTGAAAAAAAAAAAAAAAAAAAAAAAAAAAAAAAAAAAGAAAAAAAAAATCGATACCCCCTGAAAAATGAACGTCAACGAGGCGTTCCTTTTCGTTTCATCGTCTCGCGCTCGCGCGCGCGTGCGATATCTCCGTGGCTCCCTTCTTTGGTCGTTGAGTCGTGGACGAGCTTCGAAGCATAGAGAGAGAAAGAGAGAGAGAGAGAGAGAAATAAAAAAAAAGTTGTTGCGCGTCAAAAGCCCCTCGCCGGAAGTCGAGTGGCCGCAAGGCAAATTGCAAGCTACATCCGTGGAGTAGGTACACGTGCGTAGGGCGGCGCAAATACGTCCCTAGGGGGTAAACTGTGCTGCGGTGAAGACCATACGAGGCCTGTATACACACACGCGAGGCCGCGCGACCCCTCCGGGGGTCTCTCTTGGCCCATTCAACGACAGTCCAGGAAAATAACTATCGTACACAATCGGCGCGTAGCCCGAGAGGGGTTATTTCGCATAATCCACCCTCGTCGCTGCGACCACGGACCCCTCGGTTCTACGAGAACCGTGTGTTACTTTCTCTCTCCCCCTCCTGTCTCTCTTTCTCCCTTTCTCGTACCCTCTTCGTTTCTCCCTCTGTCGATCCTAAATGCCTAAGTGAAATCCACTATAAGCATGATTCGCACACGTAACGAGTTTACCGGCCTCTGTTATCCCCTCTTGATCTTACGCTGCGTTTCTCTCCTCTTCGCCACCCCTTGTTTCCTCTGTCTTTTTCACCGAGAGTTTCTCTCTCCCTCTCTCTCTCTCTCTCTCGTGATCGTGTTCGTTGATTCATCCCCCCCCCCCCCCCCCCCCCCCCCCCCCGTTTCACGTTTCTTCTTCACGAAGCTGGGGGAGCGGTAGCTCTTGGGACCCAGTGATGACCATCGCCACTGGTCTGCAAAGGCTCTTCAGCACAGATTCGTTTTCACCCCCTTATTCCGGGGCGTATGACGTCAGGCTCGCTTCTCTCCCGGATGACATTTCATCCCGACACCGATGGTGTCGCGTGAGGAAACGTACACCGGGGACTTGTGTTGTGTACTTCTGTGGCTCCGGTTATTAACGGTAATTAGACCGCGGGCTTTTATGAGGTATTCAAGGGTGGAAAGATGTAAAAATATAGAAAAAAAACCTACTACTACCACTTTTTTTCAATATTTCACCCTTTGCCCTCGAGAACCTTTTGTTTTCATGTATCGTCTGTAACAATTCATTTACGGAGCATCGATTCAAATAAAATGACATAGCATTGGAAACAATCATTCGAGTGGCATTTAACATGAAATTTCGTTGATTATATCTTTCTAATACGTAATTCTGATATATAATTTAAAGCAATCGTCAACGTTATGGATTTGCTAGAACATGTGTAACATGCAAGAGTTAATAGATACATAGATAGTTTCCAATATCCTCCACCCGTTTTTCAAACTTTCGTACGAAGCAATTAGAAAGTCTACTAGTTTATTCCACTGAGTGTCAATTTTGACTCAGGACTGTCTTTCAGAAATTTCTTCTTCTGAAATACTTTTGTTCTCCTTACGTCATTGTTATTGTACTTTTCACTCTAGACGTCCGTTCAGATATTATGCCATTATATATCGTATCATCACACACACCAAAACCTATACGTTTTTCGTTATAATCATGCGGCAAGTTATAAAAAGAGCAAGTCCGAGCTAAATTTAGTACGATGCCCTCTCAAACAGAGTGCAAAGGGTTAACAGATAAAACGTTCATTATTTTCTCTAATCACTTTATTGCGAAATCATGAAGGCTTTACGATGAAAGATCAGGCCATTTACGATTGACTAACAAGATCTCTTGTGCGTTGCAGCAACAAAGGCCCGACATATCGAGACTGCTGCAGCAAATGCACGCTCAACAACTGCCACCGGGGACGGCGATCGGTGCTCATCCAGGGCTACCCGGACTTCCGGGACTAGGACCAGCTGCTGGACTTCCGGTGCCAACTTCCGCCTCCGCGGCACTTCTTGGCCTTGGCTTAACGCCGGGCGCCGCCACAGCACCGGGAACAACAGCCGCTCATCCATTGTCGATGTTGAGTAAACCGGAATTGCATCGCGGTCAACCCGACGATTTGAAAAGCAACGGCGGTGAGCATTTTCATACTAACTCCACCTCTTACCGCTCCCTCCCTCTCCCCCCTCTTTTCGACGAAGGAGTACAAGTTCCTTTTTTTCTTTTTTTTTTTAACCCTTTGACTCTCTTCGATAATTGTTCATTTTTATCCTTTTCTTAGAGAAACAGAAAGAGAGAGAGAGAGAGAGAGAGAGAGAGAGAGGAATTCTTTTTCATATATATATATAAAAATTGTTAGATTCTTTTTTCTGCAGTATAAAATCGAGAAACATTTGTAATTTTTTTTTTTTTTTTTCTTATACGAGATAAAGGAAAGTAGCGATGTCGGTAGCAATGGAAACCGACTGTTAACGAAGAATTAATAGCAAACAAGACACTAGAGAGAAACACTGAATGGGAATCTAACTGTTCGATGTTTCCTACGAAGTATCGTGTGTTTCGTTAGGAAAGTCAAGAAACAAGAAAAACGATTAAGACGATCATTGTTTGACGCGTGTGCATTACCATGAAATATGCATTCGATGAAAACGAGACGATAAACGAGATACCGCGCGTTTTCATCAGACACGAATCGCACAACGCGCGTGAATCATCGACGTGAACGTGTCTCGACACCCGACACGTGAAACGAACCAGTCGAAGGGTTAATCATGACACAATACGTATCAAATCACACCCTATATATGTATATATCCATCTTCTTCTTTTCTTTTTTATCTAAAAAGAAGAAAGTTTAATCTGTGTTCACGTGCTACTTACGTTATGTACCCACTCGATTGTCGGCGCATTTCGCGGGCATGAAAACCCCCCATTTAAAGCGACGTGGGGAGTGGTGGGAGGCTTGGATCCAAATTAGCACCAGTTAATTTCCACGCTTCCTTTCACGACGCATTACACATTCCCTTCTCCGTGGCAGTAATTCCAAAAAACCGCAGAAGACCGGCCACACGGCCTCCCTCCTGGTGTACAGCCCTCCGCGCCAACACGCGCCTCCCTTTCACGATCGAATTCCTAGCCGCTCCACGGGAATCGTAAAACCCCGGGAATACTCGTTATACGCATACCTTCCGCCCTTTCACACGATTTTAATTGCCACCTCTGTGGGCAGCGCGGCGGGAAAAGAAATTAACGAAATTCCGGCCTTTGGTCACGTTCGAGTGGCGCCGTGCCCCGATATATACACATATACATATACATATATGTATATATACATATGTATATGTATACACACACAGAATGAATCGCACCTGCGCACGCGCGCGCGCAACAGCGAGCGAGACGAGCGAATAGTGCACGCTCCAAACGGTCCGACCCATCGGTGGGTGGGGGGGGGGGGGGGATTTTTTCTCTTTTTGTCACCATCATCCGTTTGATCCCGCTTTTGCGATACCTCGGACGAAAAAAAATAAAAAAAAAAAAAATAAAAAAGAGAGAGAGAGAGAGCGCGCCAGTTGACCAACCGTGGTCTCTGTGTGTGTGCGGGTGTGTGTGCCTTTGTATATCGGTCTGTATATATGTATATGTATATGCAACGTGGAAAAGAGGTGGTTGGAAGCACTCTGGACCACGGGACAGTCGACAGCGGGGAAAAGGGTGTATGGGTGTGGGTGAGAGAGAGAGAGAGAGAGAGAGAGAAAACGGAAAAAAGAATATGTAGCCGACGTGGCGCGAGCGTGCGGCTCGGCTCGCTCGACTGGAAATTTTCAAAGCGCTTTTCGGGTATCCGCTTTCGGGGAGGAAGGGGTGAGCGTGTTTGCGTCACCCTGTTAGCGGACACCGGCGATTTTGAGCGAAAAGCGCATAAATATGCATGAAGATCATTTATACGGGCGCCGCTCGCGCTTCTACTATCCACGCCACGCTATGCCACATCGCATACGTATCTAACACACACCTACACACGCACGCACATACACGTAATACGTGTACGCGTGTATATATATATATATATATATATATATATATATATATAATATGTGTGTATGTGTGTGTGTGTGCGCGCGCGCGCGCGTGTGTGTCTGAGTCCGATCCATCCTCAACCCCCTGTTACGGCTCACACCCCCTCCTGTCTCTCTTTTATGGGCACGTTATTAACATTTTATCGACGCACGGTGGCCAGGATTTCGACAGTTTTTTTTTTTTTTCTCGTTCACCTGTCCTCCCCAACCCCCTCTAAAATCGTCCTCCCGTTTCATCCGTTCCCGACGTTATGCATGAAAATGATTTTTTTTTTTTTTACTCCCCCTCCCCCTCCCCCCCAGTTGGAAACGTTCCGCACGGCTTTTGACTGACGACTGTTTGCATTTGTTTCGTTACAGGTCTCAGCTCTACCGAGGAGAGACACGTGAGTAGAATATATTTCGCTCTATTTTTTTCTACATACATACATTTATATATATATATAGAATTTTTCTCGCTTTTTTTCTCTCTCTTGCACTTGTCCCAACTTTTCTCCCTCTCCCTCTCTCTCCGTTGCATTTATTTTCAAGTATCGCGGAATGTTTGTCGAAATTATCGCGTTATTTACGAGCCGCGTCGTACAATACTCGAATGGCGAGCGGGGGAATTTTCTTTATCAGAAATCCCGTCGTTAATGGGATTTCGCTTTTTCGAGGGGGGGGTTCTCCACCTTTTGCCCGGTGTATTCGGTGTATTTAATTTTTTCTTTCGCCGGTTTTAACGAGTAATTTTAACGGGACGCGCAACGTACCGACGCCGAAATCACGCGCAACGATAACGTCGTCATTTCGAATTAAATTATTAATGGACGTTGAAGTGGCGGCGACGTGGCGCGCTCTTTGTTAGAATTTTCGCGCGTCAGAAACGCAGAGAGAGAGAGAGAGAGAGAGTGAGAGAGTGAGAGAGAGAAAGATGAGAGACAGAAGTGTTCGTTGTTCGTCGAAAGGCGAGAAACAGAGCGAGGGAAGAACGGTGGAGACACGCGCGCTTTATTTTTCACGTGTCGTAATTAAGGTTTACTACGCAAATGAAATTATGTCAGCGCCGCTGTTTTATCGCCGATGAAACAATAATACGCGCGGAGATTTACGGACCCATATTTTCGCGCCGGTAAATATTTCGCCGCTGGAAACGCAGACAAATCATTTATCGAAATGTCGAGTTAACAATCGGATTATCCGTTCGACTTCTACGTATCGATCTAGCGCATAAATAAATAAATATGCGAACGGATGGGCATTTTTTACCGTTTATCCGTTCTCGCTGCTGTTTCACCGTGTTGAAATTTCGCAAAGGATTTAATGACGTAGATAAATAAATCCAATTGAAACGAGTCGAGAACGAACGGCAAAAATTGTCTCTGTATTTTCAACGATTAAAATTGCTTCGACATCCGCGTCTCTGTTACTGAATTTATGGCGCCGTGCACCGATCCGCGCAACGCAACGCGCTTGGAAAGAAGTTCCTTTCTCGTTTCTCTCCATCGAAGTTACGCGCGATAAATCGACGCCGCTCTTTTCGATAGAGGATCTGGCTGTAAGAGTTATCGCATCGTTTCGTAATAATTTAATGCCACCTTTTGAAATATATATCATCGTAGCAACAAATCCCTCCGATTTTAATCGATAATTGGTTATCAGTAGGTCGTTGGTTTAAATTTATCTGCTTCTCTGGAAACGATAAATCATAGATAGAAAAACAATTTAAAGGTCTTTTTGAGATATAAAAAATAATAACATTTCGACGAAGAATCTTGTTATTCTCGTTAGAGTTTCTTTGCTTCTCGAACGTTCAAATTAGCTCTTTCTGTCGCATTTTTTTTTTTTATTTTCTCAAACAATGAGTTTTTCGCTTATCTTTCGTGGACGATTTGTTGTTGCACGATTTAACTCTAGAACTACCAACCGACTAACGTATAAAATTTTCATCAGTGATGTTAAAGTGAAAAAAAAGTAGAGAAACTTGAGTAAGATACAATAGATTATACAAACTTTTATTTATTTTACAAAAAAATCATTTAAATATATAATATATTTAACAAAAATTGCAAATTGCAGTCATTTCGATCAGTTCCAGTGTTAATCAACATAATTTAGGAAGACTGTCCCCTGTACAATCGACATCTTTCTCACAGTTAATGCGCTTTCTCATATAACACGCTCAATCTTTCCACAATCGAATCACAACGTGCAGACGTTAAACGACAAAGCTTTCGTTTCCAATCGATGGAACTCCACTCTAATAACTCCAACCTGTTTCCTCTGCGTAACGTAAACGAGGCACTCGAGACAACTACGTATTTCTAATCTCTCGGGGATACGGCAGCGTGAACACGCGGCGTGTATACGCGCGTACAACCTACTCGACACACTCGAGCACTCGCGACGTGACCTCCTACCCTTCCACCCTCTGTATTACAGCCACATTACACGCGTGTAACTTTCCGTGCGCGTGAAGGGTACAACGAGTGCTTCGATGTACTTCGCTCACGAGCATCCACTGTACGCGCAATTATGTTTTCGACGAACGCGCGAGTGGTATAAAGTGGCAAGCGGGAAAGAGGCCTGGCGTGAGAAAAAAAAAAAAAAAAAAAAAAAAAAATACGTGGCCGAGCGGCTACTAAGAAAAGAACGTGGCGCCTTTTGCCTTTCGACTTCTCTCTCTCTCCCTCTCTCTCTCTCTCTCTCTATTTCTGGTTGCCGCGTTTCGGTTCGTTGGTTTTTCCAGGCTCAAACATCCTCGAATCACTTCCGGGAATTTCTTCTCTCTTTTCGCTTTCCCGCGCGGTTTGTTTTCCATTGAATTCCATTCAATGATTGGTCTTGTGCCCTGGTCAGTATTTTTCATAGTCATTTCTCTCTCTCTCTCTCTCTCATTTCAATTCAATTTCAAGATTTTTAACTGCTGGACGAACAGTTTTAGAGTAGACATTTTTCGAAATCGAAAGTTTCCAAAACCATTTCGCCTTCCTTCCTTCCTTCCTTCCTTTCTCGTTATATGTTTCAGTTTCAAGATTTGTTTAATCCCCCTTTGCGCTGGCAACTGGTTCGCGGACCGTAACGAGAGACCGAACCGTGTCGCTTTCTTTTTCTTTTGAACTCGTCGGTATGATATCACATTGGACAGAAAATTATTAAAAAGTAATAAACTTATCGTTTGTTTTGCCTGGGTTACATTTATATATAAATATAAATTACACTTATAAATATAATATAAATAGAGAAATATAGTATAATATAAATATATAAATATAGTATAATATAAATACAAATATATTATAAATATATAAATAATAATATAGTATAATATAAATATAAATATATTATAAATATATAAATATAAATATATTATATAAATATAATATTATTTATATATAATATTTATATATAAATATAATATAAATATAAAAACATTTATATAAATATACTTAAAACTGAGGAAATTGTTGCAATTTTGGTACAAAAAAATTCTCGACGTGCGTGGCACGTCATTCCAGCGCAAGAGGTTGACCACTGCGTCAATTTTAACTTGTCCATCTCATTTTTTCATCTCAAGGTCAGGCAGCAACGTGATTGGTTCATTGTTTGCAAGAACAATCTCGCAAAGAGATAAATAAATTTAAGAACTGCACGAGGATCTCTAGTGTTAACACTAGACGTTTCTAGAAGTAGACGTTCTCGGCTGTGAAAAACTGTGCGTCGAATTGCATACGTAAACGTCGATCCAACACTTTGGCACGAGACAAGAATTCTCATCGATGACTCTGAATAGAATTGACAAATATGTGCATCCAAATACATTTTATCTTGTACTTTAACACGTTTCAATCTGCATACGTTTATTCGGCGCTTCTACTCGCAATATGCACGCACGAGTAAAGTCGCATCATCATTTTCGCGAGAATCGTCGCGATCCGAGACGATGAAAAAACTCTCTCTGTGCGTGTTTGTTAACGCACTTCAATTTTCTTTTCTCTCTCGAAGTTACCAAGAATACATGGATACGTTGGTAAAATTAATCATCACGACATTATACTTTTCAAACAACTATCGCGCTCTGGTCGTTTCAAATTACAGCGCAAGCTCCGTTTATGCGAACTTGCCCGGAGACAGAAAGTTTATACAACTCTGGGAATTCATCGATTCTCTGCTCAGCTAATAATTTTTCGTTCGCGCAAGAAACAAGAAAGTGGATTTTCAATTCACCAGAGTTCATTTATCGACTGAAATTTAGCTCGAGGAAAATCGGGATTCGTACAAACATTAGGAGTTGTGCCATTATCATACATCACCATACATTATCATACATTAGGCGCTGGTTATTCCAGTGTTAGCCGACAACACAGAGTTACAATAAAAATGCAAACTAATTACGCGTCGCAAAACCGGCTACACGTTTCAATTACTCGTAATACACTCTGCTCTTTCCAACTGTGAAAATTTAATTAAAATAATAATAATAATAATTACTGTAAAATATTAACGATAATGATAAATTTAAATATAATTTAGAATTATAAATTATTCGTCATTATACGTCAGGATACGTTACAGGCTAATCTGAAGTTGTAATAAACAAAACTGGTTGGCCATTATTACGTGTTTGCCTTGCGAAACACTTTACCGGCGATTCGTTCGGCGAAGGTTTGAAACAAAGGTTTCGGTCGGTGTAAATCGAGCGAGAAACGGAACGAATCGGCTGGCGGGAACAAGGGGTGGGCGAGATATATAACCGGCGAAGAACGGATAGCATTAAAGTTACGAAAGTAATTACAGACGAATACTAGAGTTCTCGATTGTATCGAGCTTAGGGGATAAAGTCCCGCGTGCCGAGGCTCGGCCTCCATGCTCTCTCTCTCTCTTTCTCTTCCTCCCTCTCTTCGTAGCAGAAACTTTTCTTCTCAAAGTCGTAGCCGTAGGGATGGAAGAGGAGTCTACGGTTCTTCGCCCGTAGAAAATGCAAGTAACGACCTTCTTCTCAGCGAGAACACAGTCCCGAACCAGGCTCGACGAACGAACGTGCCCGAGCGCAGAGAGACGGGAGAGATTCGAGATGAATAGAGAGAGGGAACCACGGAGGGCGCGTCGGAAGAAAGGAGCAGCCGGAAAGAAAAAGGAATGGAAGGAGAAGGGAGAAAGAAAAGAAAGAAAAAAAGAAAAAAAAAGAAAAAAAAATGGAAGGAGAAAAATAATGGAAAGAGCGGAGCACCCATAAAGAAAGGAAGAGGGAAAAGGGAGAGATAGCAGCGTGTATTATAGGTTTGCCGAGCCTGTAATCATCGCGGGACCGCGAAACGCCCATCGACGCCCTCTCATTCTGCCTCTCGCCATTCTATTTTCCTCTCTCCTTATCCCACACCCATCCTCGGGCAGTTTTCTCTCGTTCTTTCGTCCTTGCCGCGTGCATCGCCTCGTCCTGTTCCCTCTTCCAGCCCATGCCGACTCTATAATCATTATCAACCTCTTCCCAAAGCATCCTCTTCCATATTTCTTTTTTTTCTCTCTCTCTCTCTCTCTCTCTCTCCTCTTTCGTTCCTCTTTTTTTTCTCTTCTTCTCTTCCTCTCCTGCCTTCCTTCTGCTCGTATATCGCGAGCTTCCTTTAATTCTCTTTCTGCTGGGAGCCGCGCGCGCGCCCTCCCTTTTTCCCCCCCTTCCTTTCCTTGGATTTTAGTGTGGCCTCTCCATGGCCAGCCTGGAATTCTATTAAGCTTCGTTACAAACTGGATCTGGCCATGCGGGATATAATCTGGACACGTCGCGTGCCGACAAGGGACACGGAATTTCCGTGGGAATGAGTTCCGAAGGTTATACGCGCGAGAAAATTGGCTTAGGGTGAATTAGACTCGGGACCTCCGGTGGCCCTCGGACGCGTCCGAGACGAGCTATGATTGTTAGCGGGAATTCGATGCGAAGGTTTGACCCTTTTCGACTCGTCGTCTCGGGTGTTCTCCATTGTCTGCTCACCGTGATACATACACGCGGATGTACTCCGAGCTGGAAACTGTGAAACTGCTGTCGCAGTTTTTGTTTTGATCGCGGAGAATTTACCTCTTGCGCAGTCGAGAATTTTTTGCAACCTAAAATTGCAACATTTTCTCAGTTTTAAGTATATTTAAATGTAACAAATTATAAGTTTATTACTTCTTAATAATTTCTATTTAGTGATGTCACACCGACGAGTTCAGAAGAAGAAGAAGAAAGCGACGAATTATTGTATACGGTTCGGTCGCTCGTTATGGTCCGCGCAACCAGTTGTCAGCGCAAAGGATTTTTTTTCGAGGACAATTCGCAAGTTCTTTGAATTTCGTAAGGCTCGCTGTAATTTTTTTTTTTCATTTTTAATCTACTCAGACAGCAGAAATCTGTCAGAGTAGAAATTTAATTTTTCGCGGCTGTCGGTGAACAAATTGTGTTGCAACATTACAAAAACAGGCGATGTACGGAATGTAATTGACACGGAAGATTGAAGCAATGAAGAATAAAACCGAGAGTTAAATTGGAGATGGCGAAACTGAAGACATTTCTTATGGAAATGATTGGAAAACAAATGTTACAAGAACGAACGATATAAAGGCACAGAATATAACTTGAAGTGATACGGCGATTGACAATTAACAGCGAGGAATAAAATCGATGGTTGAAATCAAAGTATACACCATTTTTATGACTTCAAAATCGAAGACATTTCTTGATGTTATTGAAGATTAAATTGTATCATAATATTCGAGAAACGAACGATATGAAGGTACAGAATATAATTTAAAATGATACCGAAAATTAACAGCGATCAATAATTAATAGCGAAGAATAAAGTTAAAATTATTAAAATATACATCTACTCTATTTTTATGACGTCAAAATCGAAGACATTTCTTGTGGTTATTGATGATCAAATTGTATCGTAATATTACAAAAACGAACGATACGAGGGTACAGAATATAACTTAGAATAATACGAAAGATTAACAAATAACAGCGATTAATAGCGAGGAATAAAATCGGGGGTTAGAATAAGTATATATACCTGTTCCACATTTATGACGTCAAAAATTGAAGACTCTCGAAGTTAGCGATTAAAACTCCAATCTCGAGAAACGAATATCAAAGATTCGTATAAAAAAAACGTGACGGAGGATTTTCAACGAACAATCAAAGTTTTCTTGTGACTTGACAGCTCAAAAGAATTTCAAGTTCGACGAATTTTAAGACGAACGAATGTCGAATATTTGTGTGAAACGAGGACAAGACAGAAAGGAGAGGAAAAGAAAGGAAACAGGAAATATATAGATAGATCGCGTTGGAATATCATCGGGGCGATGATTAAATTATATTGCCCATATCAAAATCACGGAAAATCTCTCGAACGCAATTCCGTCTCGCGGATATAGTGATTTTATTCACCGTAACGTAAACCCCACTCAAAATCTACGTATCGTGGCTCGTCGTTCGGCTGTCACGGATGGAAAGTCGAAATCGATTATCGCGAACGGTCGCGTGACAATTGATAATAACCGTCGACGCGGGTAATTACGGTTTTGTCACGTTGATCGAACCGCAGGAAACACGTGGGTAATCCGTTGTTTCAGTCTATGCCGGTTGTCTGTTATTTAACCAGAGATTAACGGCTGTGTAAACGTGCGCCTCTGCACGGATAGAAAACCGTATCAACTTCGTTCGTTCTTATCGTCTCGTCCCTATTAGCAAATTGATCTTACCACGCGGTGGTGGCTCGAGATATTGAATCGAAGTACTCGTATATAATGAGAGTATGTGAATAGTTATGAAAGTATTTTTTTTTTATAAATATATTATAAATATAAAATAATTATAAATAATTATTGTAATTTATATTATATATATAATATAATTTATATTATAAAAATATAAATATAAATATATTATATAAATATTATATTTATATAATATAATATATATTTATATATTTATATTATATAATATAATATTTATATATTTATATTATATTTCTAATATAAATATATAAATATATTATATATAAAATATAAAATAATTATAAATAATTATTATAATTTATATTGTAAATATATAAATAGATATTATATCATATTAATATTTATATAATATAATATATATTTATATATTATATTTATAATATAAATATATAAATATATATATGTATATATTATAAATATATTATTACATATGTTATTTAGAAAAGATAGTGAAGCACTTTCGCGAGCACTGTAGTGAAGTACAGTGGACTCAAAAATGTACGTAAAAGTTACTGTTTGTATTATACACGAAATTATTATATTTTGAAAAGGTCATGAAGTTCGTAATGTTCGTGACCATTTTGTACGTTCATAATATTTTTAAGACGACTGTTGGTGTTTACACTAATTTACTACATTTATGTAGTATGCGTGTAACTTTTATATATATGTATACATATATACACTTTCAAATTAGTTTCAAATTTTGTTAATAAAACGAGATTTCAGAAAGTTGTGCATAACGCGGCGGCTGCTAAAAATTCCCTGGCTAACATTTAATTTTGATCGTACGATTGCAACAATTTCTAAATACGTTGTGCTGCGTTTTATACGATCATGAAAATTTTTGTAAAAACAATTTCGTCGGTGGATGATTTAAATTAAAATGGAATAGCTGTGGTCACATATTTTTCAACAGCCTTCATACTCTGTATATAATGCCTACGGTAAAAATTTTCTACAATTGAAATGTCATTTGAGAAACGTATTTCCTTTTCTTTCGTTGTTCTTTTCTCTCTCTCTCTCTCCCTCTCCCCCCCCCCCTCTCTACCTTTTCCCTTCCCCTTGTCCCAAAGATACGATCGAAACGCGACCATCGATAACAATCTCGCGTGCCATTTTATGGTGCGTTATTCGAAACGAGCGAGTGAGTGCGCGCCGCGAGAGCCGTAATTTTCGTCACGTTACAGAGAAGCTCGATATCGCCCGGTGATAAATACAGTCGTCCACGTACACCGCAGGAGACGCACCATTCCCATCATTCTCAGAATCACCATGACCATCCCATGCACATCAAAAAGATGAAGAAGGAGCAGGACAAGGACATTGGTCACGTAAGTCTTTACACTGCGTTATTGTTCTTGCATTCGAGCATTCTCACCTCTTTTTTTTTTTTTTTTGTTTGGCTCGACCCAGTTTCGCTCGCGTTTCTTTGGAACATTGTGATTCCAAGGGAAATGGAGCTGGGAGAAACCGGGTCGAGAAATGAAAAATATACGTAGGACAAAGAACACATCGGAACGATTCGTGGATCGAAACTGCGGATTACCTCCGTTACCAGTTGAAAACACTGATTTTCTTTTTCTGCTGGGAGAACTTTCGTTTCGAAGTCTCGATCAATCACGGATCACCAGATTTTCGCGATAACGCAGCATCTTGAAGACGGGATCGCGCAATTTTTTTCCATTAAACGGATTTTAAATTCGAAAAAGAAATAAATAAATTTATAAATTTTTCATTTGTTTTTTTTTTTAATTTTAATTTTAATACATTGAGATACGAGTGTGTTCGATCTCTAGATCAAAATCTATGCAACTTCAAATTTTTAGGTGTTGCAATTTTTTTTTTTTTTTGGCAAGCAACATCAACGTGTTCGTATTTGTCTATTTTTATGCAAATTTCTGCTTCCGACATTTTGTTGACACAGGGCGAAGCAGTCGAATCGCGAAAAATCTTTCTCGTTGCGGACGTCGTTCCTTCGCTTATCGTGGCAATCGGTCGAGTATTTAATTTGGATTCAAATCGTTTATCAAATCGTAAGATTGCAAGTTAATTAGCGACACTGATGAAATTGGCATCAGATATCGTTATAATTCCAATGCTAATAAGGAACCATGATTGAGACTTCAACAAGATAACACGCCAATGTGTGACTCAAATACAAATCGTGCGTAGTTCAAACACTCTTCAGCACGAATAACAAACTTTCGGCGAATTTCTTGCTAAAACGAAAAAGAACATGTGTCGCATTTAATTTTTCGCCAGATGTGCGAGTTGTAGCAAAAGATCACTTTAATAGACTCACTTTTCTGTATCTATTTAAATATGTATCTATTTAAATATACTTCTTTTTAATTATTAAAAAGTCAATTTTTATTACAATATCGTATAATCAATGCAAACAGTATATTAATTCGTCAAATTTATATAAATTCTTCTTTTCATTTAGTCGATTATCAGTCTCTAAAATCAATTTTTATTACAATATCATTTGACGAATTAATATACTGTTTGTATATATGATATTGCAATAAAAACAATATATAAATTCATCTTTTTATTTGATGCATAGAACGATCATTTATATTGATACTGATACATTTGTACACAAATGAAGAAGCACGCTTTTGTATGAACATCTACGAACATCCTGTTTTCTTTTTATAACAGAAACATTCAAGTAAATCTCTGATGTACCAAAGAACTATACTAAACGACACATAAATATGTTAAAAGAAAATTTATTAAAGACCTGTATTCAGAACGCGAATCCTCAGTTTCTTACGTACATGTTCAATACCAAAAATCGTCCATTAGTGCTAAAGAACTATACTAAAAGACACGTAAATATGTTTAGAAAGAAAAAAAAAAAAAAATTAAAGATGTGTATTGAGAACGTGAATTCTGAATTTCCTACGTACACGTTTAATACCAAAAATCGTCCATTTGTGCTAAAGAACTAAAAGACACGTATATATGTTTAGAAAGAAAAAAAAAAAAGAACTATACTAAAAAACACGTAGATATGTTTCGAAAGAAAGAAAAAAAAAAAAAATTAAAGATGTGTATTGAGAACGCGAATTCTTAATTTCCTACGTACACGTTCAATACCAAAAATCGTCCATTTGTGCTAAAGAGCTATACTAAAAGACACGTAAATATGTTTAGAAAGAAAAAAAAAAAAAATTAAAATATATTAAAGATGTAAAGAACTATACTAAAAGACACGTAAATATGTTTAGAAAGCAAAAAAAAAAAAAAATTAAAGATGTGTATTGAGAACGCGAATCCTCAATTTCCTACGTACACGTTCAAAATCATAGTGATTTCTCAAACCGAGGCCAGTCGGAAAATAATCTGTCAATCACCCCCGTGTCTCCAGAGTGACGGCGAGAAGAGCGATCAGGATCTGGTGGTGGACGACGCCAGCGAAGGTCCGACGAGTCCGGTTGTGAACGGGACGACGTCGCCGCGAGAGAATGGCCTGGACAAAGTGGCACCTATCGGCACCGGCGTGCAGACGAAGAAAGACGTGCCACCGCACTCGCCTCGAAGCGGGACCAGCAGCAACGCGAGCACACCGTCGGCCAAGAAGATGGAGGAACGAGAAAAGCCAACGACACCGATCTCAAAGCCTCTGACACCAACCTCGGGCTCGGCGATCAGCGGCGGCTTGAAGCCATCCGGCTCGGCGAAGCTACTTCAGGGACCGCCGCCTCCCGGCGTACCGAGCGCATATCCGCCGCACTACGCTCCCGGGCCGCCGCCTCACCATCTGGCACCACCCGGCCAGCATCCTCACGTCGACATGATGGGATATAACGGCTACGTGGCGCCTAGAGCACCACCTTCGCTGCAACAGCTCTACGATCCCCATGTGGCCATGAGAGCACCGATGGGATCGGTCGGAGTGCCCGGAGGCAAACCGTAAGTGGACACACATGCACACTTTGCACTTATGCGTGGAATATCCGATCCGTTCGAATTCGTCCGATTCTTGCGTGAATTTGTATATACTTTTGCGTGAGTTATAGCACACTCGAAAATTAGGGGATATTTTCAAAATGATTATGAAGCGATAAGAAAGAAGAAGCATTGGATGTTTGTTTTTATTAAAGAAGAACGTCAGAAGAGCAACTGGTCGTTTGCTTCTCTGATGTTCTGACTGATTATTAATGTTAGAAGCTGTTTTCTCTGTAGAAGAACTAAGTACACTGCTCGCAAAAGTTAGGGGATATTTCAAAATGATTATGAAGCGATAAGAAAAAAGAAGCATTGGATTTTTGTTTTTATTGAACAAGAACATCAAAAGAGCAACTGGTCGTTTGCTTCTCTGATGTTCTGACTGATTATTAATGTTAGAAGCTTTTCTCTGTAGAAGAACTAAATACACTGCTCACAAAAATTAGGGGATATTTCAAAATGATTATGAAGCGATAAGAAAAAAGAAGCATTGGATTTTTGTTTTTATTAAACAAGAACATCAGAAGAGCAACTGGTCGTTTGCTTCTCTGACTGATTATCAACCCTGTAGAAGAACTAAGTACACTGTTCGCAAAAATTAGGGGATATTTCAAAATGATTATGAAGCGATAAGAAAAAAGAAGCATTGGATTTTTGTTTTTATTGAACAAGAACATCGGAAGAGCAACTGGTCGTTTATTTCTTTGATGGTCTTGTTTAATAAAAAAAATTAAATGCTTCTCTTTTTTATCGTTTCATATTCAATTTGACATATCCCTTAATTTTTGCCAGCAGTGTATTTAGTTTTTCTACAGAGAAAATCTTCTAACGTTGATAATCATTTAGATTTTTTTCTTTTTCCGTCAGGAGTTATATTAATCTACGATTAATAATAATTACGCAGGTTTTATTCCTATATAAATTTGTATTTTTATGATAATCTTGTATTTTTATCATAATCTTGTATCTTTATGATAATTTAATTTTTCAGGGACTACGTCTGGGTACGATTTTGTTCATTATTTTCATGAACTTGAATTATATTAATATTGCAATGATCAAACGGGTTCTTACTTCTACGTAAATTTTTATGAGTGCAATATCAATCATTCGCGAAAGACATTTGACGTCGCTATCATAGCTTTAATTCATCATTTTCGTGGATTTGAATTATATTAATATTGCAACGATTAAACTACTTCTTATTTCAATGCAAATTTCTATTTAAATTTGTAATGCAATCCTATGTAAATTTGTATTTGCATTTTTGTGAGTATAAACCCTTCAGCATGGACATCTGATGTTAATGACTTAGATTTTGTTCATCATTTTCGTGCATTTGAACTATGTCAATATTACAACAGTGAGATAGACGTAATAATAATTTGCAAAATGGCGGCTGTCAGTCGATTATAAAATTTAGCAGCGTTGAAATAACTTCTGATATAATACGGCGCGCAGACGTTGAAAAAGTAATTAGATTTACGTTTGAATAGACTGTGGATTTTGTATGCAAATATATATTTTCATCAAACCAGAGTGGATTATTTCATTTACTGAATATTCTATTTTCGCTTCTATTTGTATCTAAATTTTGTGTCTTCAGAGTTTGAAAAATCCGCAGCCCAGTCGCAACAAATATTGAATATTTTATGAACAACCTCATCGCGCCATTAAAACAAGTTAAAATCTTTGCATAAACGTCGCGAAGATGTGGAATGAAACTTGGAGCAGGTAACACGAAGGCCAAGTGACACCGCGGGGCTGTTTGCCTTCGAGATAGATTTTAAAATTTCGACAGAGTGTTTCGCGATAAGATAATTCGATCAAACCTATCTGGGGGATATTAAGAGAAAATATTTGACACAATTACTTGTTGTCGTGTCGTAATGATAATAATGATTTCCATCGATAAACCGCTGGAAATCGCACGTCGAACATGGAAGTTTCCAGCTGTCAATTTCCAATATCAATTTATGTTTCCCCGTTTGTATACATATATATTTTCTTTTTTAAACTAAAAAATTTTTTTTCCTTTTCACACATTCCTTGGCGAACGAAACGTGTAAAATTGACGCGTTACGTTTCTAAATGAAAGATCGAATATCCATGTATAATACGGTTTTTTGTTAACGGTTTTGTTTGATATTCGGTTTGCTTGCCAGCCAGGGCTCGTTATCTTCTGTTTGCTATGAAAATTTACCAATCCGGTTGTTTATTGTAGCGGACGAGCGGTTAAAATACGATGCGTTATCGATATATTTTTATTTTAATGCAGATGTCAGTGCCGCCAGAGATTAATGTTCAAGATAAAGATCGATTGAATGCGAAATTTTCGTGTGCAGAATAATGTGTGCACGCCCAATTTATGAAACGCGTTGATACACTTACCTTTTGAAAACGAGAGGATCAATATTCCTCGGACGTAAGTTTTCACTTTTCTAACAACGAAATCAGCGAGGTGGTCATAACAATTGTAATCAAAATACATAAAATAATTGAAACGTTAGACTTCTTATTAGCATGACGAATTTGGTTTAGTAAATTCACAGTGTTGATTAAAGGTACGACGCCACTTTTTCATGCTGGTCTTAACGGCTCGATCAAAAACCTTCTATTGTCATCCCCAGTCGATGCTGTTTTGTTTAACGTCTACAAAGATGGTTCACCTCGGATCACCACGTGAACATTTGAAAATTGACGCTATCTAAATCCTAGTCTTAAGTCTATGAAACTCAGGCTCGCCGTCAATCGGGAGGCAGACATGTATTCGATATACGAAGATGTATATAAATATTGGAGAAAGAGAGTCACGAAAAAGTACAGTTTTATTTTAAAGCTGATTATTAATTACGAGAGACGTTCCATTTAACGCGTATGCACAAAATTAAGTTCGATTGAATCAGTCCCAATCGTAAGCGGACGATGCGACTCTGCAGTTAGTTTGAGAAACCTCGGAGCAATTGTTAATTTAACTCGAAACGAGAGGCGAGGCCAGATTCGTCCAACGAAATTCTTTCGAAGGAATTTTTATCGTGGAAAATAATCTCATTACCAGCGTTGTTACCCAGAATTTCATAAATGTAATCATAAGTGCAACATAACGGGGGCGTCGATGAAAGTATCGCGAGGTTTTTTCTTCGACCTTTTGAAAGCCTCGAGCGAGAAGAGAAAGCCGCGCTGTTTGCGCGCGGATCGATTCAATTTGCCTATATCTACAATTTGACAGTGTTAATTAATTAAATTTCTCCATTACTCTATTAAATCCTCTAAAATATTCCTACGTTAAAAATTATGTTTGCCGTGGCCAAATTATTCCCGAAACATAAACGGATCCACTTTGTCCGCTATTAATATACACTATTAATTAATTAAATTTCTCTCGGTCGTTACGAACACCTGATCGTTTCGCTCCTGTGTTACGTCCGCGCGATCAATTTAATTCTCCGAAAGAAAAAAGGGAAGAAAGAATAAATACAAAAAGAGGAGTCAAAGTTCGACGATCAAAATCCCGGTGTCCGTCGATTAACTTCTCTAGTTTTCGTTTCGAACGATGGTTGGATCGCGTCGAAGCGTGTCAGCGAGCGGAACAGCGAACGGATGGTTTGGCAGACGCGTGTTCACCGCACGAGTCGCATTTTTCTGGATGTTTCAGCGCGTACAGCTTCCACGTGTCGAGCGAGGGCCAGATGCAGCCGGTGCCCTTCCCACCGGATGCGCTCAGCGGACAAGGGATACCGCGTCATGCGCGGCAAATTAATACCCTCAGCCACGGGGAGGTCGTGTGCGCTGTCACGATCTCCAATCCGACCAAATATGTGTACACCGGCGGCAAGGGATGCGTCAAGGTCTGGGACATTGGTCAAGCAGGCACAGGAAGCACCAAGTCCGTCTCCCAGCTCGACTGTCTGCAACCTGACAACTATATCAGGTCGGTGGTTCTCCTCGATTCTTTTATTTTTCTTACCGCCTTTTCCTTTCAACATCTCCTGGAGTTGACGTACACGTGTCGTACGAATATACATACGTGTATTTAATTTTTTATTATTTAACTTAACCTCTTGCGCTGGAATTTGTTGTCCCGATACTGCAATATTTTCTCAGTTTTAAGTATATTTAAGCATAACTCGGGCAAAACAAATAACAAATTTATTACTCCTCAATCAATTTCTATCCAATGATATCGTACCGACGAATTATTGTAATACGGCTTGGTCGCTCGTTATGGTCCGCAAATCAGTTGCCAGCGCAACGTCGAAGCGATCGAAGATATAAGAGACATTCTTATCGATTGGCGAACGAACATTTGGATTCTATTATTAACGTTAGAATTAAAATTAAACGGCTCTTAAAGCATAAAATTTCCATCGGAACGACATTAAAGATAGAAAATCTTCGCAATAGAAGCTTTTATTTATACAATTTAAACCTATAAGGACGCACTGTTTCACATTATTAAATATCAATGAATAACAAAAATCATAAATCGCTCATTTCGACTACATTACGTTTGCGAATTCTTCGCTGAGGTTCTCTGTTTAAAAAAAAATTTGCCCCTTGGCAATCGTCGATACTCGTGCAAAATTGAATCGAATATTTTAACATAACATTTCTGCTTGGAAATTTCAAATTCTGTCGCGCCGCGTTCGTTTCTATACACCATGAAACATTAATTACGAAATAATTTGTTACACGCGCGCTGACCTATTTCCCACACATTTTTACCTCGAATTTAATTGCTTCAGGCATCGAACTCGTCCCGGCTCTACCACAGACGATGCTCGCCAGACCCGATAGACACACATACCCATATGAAATATGACATCGTTTAAAAAAGGCAATCGCCAAATGCCTACCACCGATTCGAATCGAACAATTTTATCGAACACCCTTGCGACACCGCGAGCGAAAATTACGCAAGCCATCCGCGCGTTTTATGCCGCGAGAGCCAGAGAGAAGACCGGCAATCAGAGCGAGAATCAAGCGAATGAAGCGGAACGCCGCGAAAAAAGAAAGATGGCCGTAGGCGAACGTCGACATATAATGAGATTCGACGTATTCGTCGCACGGTCACGCTCGAAAAATCGCGGCGAAGTGTGTCGGGCTCGCGTAGAACAAACGCGGCGGCGTGACGTTTTCACGATACATTTCGCGCTGGATGCGCGTTTTAACGTGCCGGGCAATATGGCCGCCGCGCTCCCCGCGTATAATATCGCGCCCGGTATATATATATGTACGTGACTGTTAATGTCCGCGATACGCTGCCCGGTAATTGAAGTCCCCGGCCGCGTTTTTTGAACGTAGCAGCCACGCCGAGCCACACCGGTAAATTTAATACATTTCGTCCGGTAATGCATGCTCTAACCCCTACCTCTCCCCCCCCCCCCTTATGCCTCTTCTGCATTAAAAGGTACTTTATGAGCCATCGGTCACAGTTGCTAATCACGGCCGCTGCAGTCCGCCCGATTTCGACACGCTCCACCGCGTAAAAATGATTACCACTTTTAAAACCCTGTCAAACCGAGCGAAACGGCTGGAACTCGCGACGCCACCACCCGTCCCTCGTTCTCCAGGCCGAGCTCCAACAGTTTCGCGCCAGCGTTTTCATTCAGCGCGGCATTATTCTCGATTATGCTCGACTTTTCGGCCCGTCGAAGTCGCAAATTCGAATTGCCGAGATCTCTGTATGGCGCACTTTGCGTTCCGAGAGTTCACAAAGTGATTTTGCGTTTGACGATGTTGGTTGGTTTTGACGGTTCTGAAAGTTCTGTCGCGATAGGACATAACGGGAGAGTATTTAAAGCCCAATTTCCTCTTCTCGCAGAGAGTTTCATCTGTCAATTGGAATTTGAAAAAAATCGTTGCTTGTGCCTAAAGTAACCAACGGTGCTTTTGGATTCGAGCTAACAACGAGACAGATGAAACATTTCTCGATTAGATCAGTAAATTCAATCCAAGCCAAAATGATCCAGGATGAACTTGCCAAGACTCGAAACGCGACCTTCCTCGATCAAATCGTAAAAACGATCCAGATTAAAAGTGTCAAGAACGAGTCTAACGTACTCCAGTATCTCAGGACTTTAACCTTCCTCAATCAAGCCATTTGATTAAAAACACTCGATACTTCAAAATACGACTTCAACGATAACCTTATAACCTTCCCTCGATCGGGCCAGCGATTCGAAATACTTCAAAACGATCCAATCTCCTAATACATCAAGACCTGAACGATAACCTATCATGTATCATCCTCGATGAAACCATCGGTTCAAAATATATCTCAAAATAGTCCAAGCTCCAATCATCCCAATAATTCAACCACAACCTACAACTATCCTTCATGGAAAATACCTGAGAATGATCCAGAATTAGGCTCGAGAGAGACGACACCTGAACTATATATAACGAAACGTACGTTGTGACGTGCCCAGGTCAGTGAAACTGCTACCGGATGGCAGAACGCTGATAGTCGGTGGTGAAGCTAGCCGGCTGAGTATCTGGGATCTGGCGAGTCCGACGCCGAGGATCAAGGCCGAATTAATCTCCGCCGCCCCCGCCTGTTACGCTCTGGCGATCTCGCCGGACTCGAAGGTCTGCTTCAGCTGCTGCAGCGACGGCAGCATCGCCGTCTGGGATCTTCAGAATCAGTCTCTGGTGAGACAGTTCCAAGGTCACACGGACGGGGCATCCTGCATCGACATATCCGCCGACGGCTCGAAACTGTGGACCGGCGGATTGGACAACACGGTGCGCTCGTGGGATCTACGCGAGGGCAGACAGCTGAAGCAACACGACTTCACATCGCAGATATTCTCTCTCGGCTACTGTCCCACGGGGGAATGGCTGGCCGTCGGCATGGAGAACTCGAACGTCGAGGTGTTGCACGCCTCAAATCCGGACAAATATCAGCTCCACTTGCACGAGTCTTGCGTGTTGTCGTTGAGATTCGCGTCCTGCGGCAAGTGGTTCGTCTCCACCGGCAAGGACAACCTGCTGAACGCGTGGCGCACGCCTTACGGAGCGTCCATATTCCAAGTAAGTAATACTTTTCTTAATTTTCATCTGTTACAAATGTTTGGGTGTTTCGTAACTTGTGGGACCCACTTCGAGAGCTGATTGTACGCCTAAAACTAATGAGAAAAGGTCATATAAATATACATATGTCCTGTCTGTCTTCGTTTATGAGATATCATGAATTTTCTGTTTTAATTACTTTTACAAAAGATGCTCGAAATGACCATCTTGCATTTGAAGACAAGCCTGCACGCGTCTTGTCATTCATCTGGTTACTCTCTCTATCATTCCTGGTGTTTCTCGAATTTGCCTTGCTCTATTCTATTTCGTAGTATTTCAGCATTTTCTTCAATCCATGTTGCGTGTACAATAGATTTTAAATGTCCCCACATTCAAATCCGGAGAACGAGCAGGCCATGCAATAGGATACCTCCACGACCAATCCATTTATTTGCAAAGTGTTGATTTAAAAATTGCCTAGCCACTCGGTTAAAATGCGGCGGAGCTTCATCATGCATGAACCACGTACGAAGTCTAATATCGACTGGAACTTCCTCTAATATTTCGTGTAAACGCGTGCTCAAAGAATCAACGTACTTTGCGCCTGTTAGTTTCCCATCAAGAAAAAAAGGTCCAATTAAAAATTTATCAATTATTCCTGCCCATACGTTTAAACTAAACTGATGTTGATGTCTTGAATGCACAGTAACATGTGGGATTTCTTCATTTCAATTATCATTATTATGAAAATTGAATGTACCATCCCTGGTACTAAAACTAGCTTACTAGAGTTTGCTCTGTTTATAAAATTCATTATATCTCATAAACGAAGACATATTTATATAACTTTTTTGCATTATTTTTTTAGGCGTACAATCCCGAAGTGGGTCTCACAAATTACAAAACACCTTGTAGATTTAAGGTTTTTTCTTTTTTTTTTTTTTTAACACAAGCAATCAAGCAAACGAAAGTTTATCGGGTATAACATTGTTAACATTGTCAGATGAAAAATACTGAAATGCGATATAACATGAAGTTTATTACATTTTAATTTATCTCTAAGGCAAAGTACATGTGAAAACGCTATTCTCTTCATTATCAAGTCCGGCTACTTCTTCAATTCACGTGTCCTTCATGTTCTGAATTATCGATGTCTTCTAAATTTTATAGAATATCAAACACTCTCTTCCTGATTCGACACGAAGAACATTTCGCGCAGAAATTACCAATCTGAACCAAACGTTTGTTGATCTTTCCAAGTTAAATTTGCGTCTTATTTCTAGCATTAATAAGACGATGAATACGCATCGCGTGAGAAACAGATTTCAAATTCTAATTGTACGACGTCACGGATAATTAATGCAAAAGAAATATACAAAAAAAAAAGAACGAACTTTTTTCGCTCGATTTCTTTCGGCGACGAAATAATTTCTCGAACAGAAGAGAAACAAGAACTGGAAGGTAAATCTTCTGTGTCGCTTGCCTTACGAAGGGGATGTGTCTTGTGATGATTTCAGTCGAAGGAATCGTCATCGGTGCTCAGCTGCGATATATCGGCCGACGACAGGTACATCGTTACCGGTTCAGGCGACAAGAAGGCGACAGTCTACGAGGTTATGTATTGAACGACGAAAACCGCAAACGACCGACGAGAAAACCGCAAACGGACATATTCATCCGGCGAGTCGGAGGGCTCTTTTCTCCAGCGTGGGTGTACATAATTCTTATTACGATATTACGAGAGACGTTTGTTGCCGTTGTTCTTGTTATTGTTGTTGTTGTTGTTACTCTTTGTGAAGAAAAGGGTCCGTGCAAGAGGAAGGAGAAAACGAGCCGAACGAAGCCGGCGAAGCGACAGAGACACGCGTGCAAAGTGATTTTTTTTTTTTTTAGAAATTGTGATCACCGAATCGCGGTTGAATCGTAGCGTTCGAACGGTTTATAGGAATGTGTGTGAATCGACTGCCACGGCTTTCGACGTTTCGCGAGAGAAAAAAATGCTTACCGAAGGTCACGTGACTGAAAATTCATGACAAGAGGACGAAGAGGAGGATTCGTTTCGCTACCGCGGCGAATCGTCGTTTTCACGGTGGAGATTTCGCGAAAGAAAGGAGCACGTATTTTTTTTTTTTTCCTTTTTTAAGCAGCTGACACGTGAAATCAAACAGTTCGTTCCGCTCGTTGCGCGTACAGCCAGCATTTTGTACGGCAAAATGGCGCGTACGATTAAAAACAAACGCTGGCATTCACGTCGCGTTTTCGCCCCCTCCCCTGTACATTTTGTATATACGTCCATATATATATATTATATATGCATATATTTTACATATATGTGTATGTATATGTATATATACTATATATACACACGTCAATCTTTAAGTATACTATGATATTTTTCTACGTCCCCTAAAAGTGAGACGGAAAGCGAGTAACAGAAAACGGTTAAAAACAAAAAAAAAAAAAAAAAAAAAAAAAGAGGAGGAACGCGTACATACACATACACGATCATACAGAGATACATAAACACACGAGAAACTGAAAAAAAAATTTGTAAATATTGTCTGGCTTAGAGAATAATAACAGAATCGTGACGAGAGACGATTAAATAAAAAGTGATACTCGATAACGAACTCGGTGATCCGATTCATTTTCTCCCTTCAATCCTCTGCAATCCTATGAACCGTCATCGACAAAAAAAAAAAAAAAAAAAAAAAAGGAAAAACAAAACGAACGGAAAACAAAAACAAGAAGAAACGAGTATTTACGGGAAAACGAGGAGGGAGAGGGAGGGGATTTGGACCAAATAAAAAAAGGGGAAAAATATACAACATCGAGGAATAGAGTTTCGATGGGAAAAAATAACCCCGTGTAGGAGGAACGCGCGCGCGCGCCAGGTTATCACCCTGGAATGGTAGGTACGAAGCAAAAATCGCAGGCAAATATTATCTCGCCACGGTTGTAATATAAAAACCGATGAACGCGCGGCGAGACCACTTCGCGCCGCAAACATTCGAAAGCGGCCGAAGCGGACTAACGAACGCGTGCCACGGCGGCCGTCACTGAAAATATAAAACAAGGGCCGTCACGCGGCCCTGGTCCCCGGAGCCACCGTGCCCATAAACGTGTCAACGGCGGCCAACGTGCGTCGAGAGAGCCAGAGAAAGAGCCACCACCGGTACAGAGCGAGAAAAAGAGAGCGAGAGAGAGAGAGAGAGAGTACGCGACGTGGCGTCAACAATATTTAGTCACAACGCTGGCGTATCGTGTCGCGAAAATTACGACACCGTTTCGTCGATGGAAAAAAAAAAAAAAAAAAAGGGAAAAAAGTAACAATGGGGGGAAGAGAAAAAAAATATAACGCAACCGCACGCGCGTATGTATGCATGTACATACGTGCCGGACGCCACGTTACAACGGCGGCATTTCGTTCGTCGCGTTTCGTGCGCTCGACCTCCACGAGGGAAACGAGTTGCGGTAAACGCGAACGCGATGGTCACGTTTTGCCGACGCGTAGAAAGAGGAGGAGGGGGGTGGGGGGGTGATGGTCGGTATCGATCATAAACAGTAAAACAACGCGGAGAAAGAAGAAGCACGCGCGTGTAACACAGACGCGCACGGCGCACGGTGTGCGCCTCGACGCGAGACGTTTCCGTTGGAAATGGCGATCGGCCCGAGAGAGAGAGAGCCCCGTGCGAATCACGCCACCCGGTAGATAATTAGCGATGCAATCCACGATCGCGGAGCGCATATTCAATGGAAGGTTCATCGGCGTAATGTTATTATAATAGTGGCACGTTTTGCATATGTGACTGGGTAGCTGGTGCGAAGTGGGATCGGCGGTGGACGGTGGAAACGGGCGTGGGAGGTGGAAACGGGCGAAAGGGACTGACGTAACGTGGGAGGAAGATGAATACTGCCGTTGGTGGCGGGGGTTGGCACGGGGCGAACCAGAGGGGGGTTTGGGAACGATTTTACACGGGCTTTGCCGCACGCCAAGCGTATTTGCATGGTAATGATATGCGGCGCGACAGGACGGATGGAGTTCCGCCGGTGGCGGTGGTAAAACTGGAAGGGAGAGGGCGAGCGGGGACAGCGAAACGGCGATGGTAGGTATTTCGTGCACAAGTTTTGAATGTCGCGGCTAAATGCATCGGTTATTACGGTTAATTCGGTGAACGGCGGGAAGGAAAGAGCGAGCCAGCAGCTTTATTTATTCCGTTGAACGCGCTCGCTCGTTTCTCCGTCCGTTTATGTCAGCGCGAGTACAGGAGATCGCCGGTTGTTCTCGCTATCCGCTACTCAACGCCTTCGTTTCTCTCCATGGCTCAGCTGGCTGGTCCCCGGTTCTCCTTTGCGTCATCGCTTTAATCGTCTACACCGATGGAGTTTGTTCTGCGGTAAGAGGATTAACAAGCGCAGGGAGTCAGTCCGCCCGTTCGATCGTGTCAAACGCGGCGTAACGACTTAATCGACCCGACCGGCCCCCGCCTCGGTGTGATCGCTTCTCTCTCTCTCTCTCTCTCTCTCTCTCTCTCTCTTTCCCTCTGCTCGGAGGCCCTACGGTTCTCACTCGTTTTATTTCGTTTTAGAAACGCCATTTTCCGCGTGCGAACGGCGAATGCCGGTCAACTATCACACACACACACATATATATACGTGGTTGTGCGCCAGCACGTTTCCAGAAATGGATACACGCGGCGACGGCTTGATCGATCGTGATCGTAATCGCGATCGTGCCCGGACACCGTGTAATCTCCATTCTACGCGTAAAAACGGACGGGTAACGGCGTAATAAGTGGAGCCGTACCGCTATCATTCGGGATCGTTAGCCGCCCAGTAACTTGAGCTATCCGTGCCCGCGAGCCTCTGCCCTATTACGCTCCGCGTCGATGTCCAATTTCGCGGAAACCCGTGTTACCTTTTACGCCCGTGTGTGCACCGTGTCGCGCGTTCGTCACGCCTTCCATCCCTCGTTCGCTGTTTCCACACCGATTTCCAAACCGGGGCTAACCGACGGCGTAACAAAACTGACTGCTGAAAACGCTTCCCGCCGTTCTCCACGCCCGATCGCTTTCGATCCGTGTCTTTTACGCTTTACCGATTTCTCACTCGGTTCCGGACCACCCCGGTGATCAAGACGAGTTTCAACAGCTTTTCGATAAGGTCCGAGAGACCAGTTTTAGAATTAAATTTTAGGTTCGAGATCGGTGTACGTTGCGCACTGAACACACGTTCGAAAATGTTCCACGTACGTACGTTATAAATATAATCTGTTCTGAAGAAATTTCGAGGAGGATTATTGTTCAAAAAGTGTGTGTTGTTTTCAAAAGAAAGGTTCGTTCAGAGTTAATTTTATTTTTAAAGGAAGCTCTCCGCTTCGATTTCTTCTTCGTTTGTTGCAGGTAATTTGAATATTTGCGTGCACAAGATATCAAGTGTGAACTGCGTGTTTGTGTTTTCTTTTTCTTTTCTCTCAAATTCAAAAATATTATCGATAGAATATAGTTTCCTTTTTCTTTCTGTCTTATATGCACAGGTTAAATACACGGACAAAAGTAAATATTTGTCGAGTATTCGATGAAAATAAATGATAGAGCAAAGACTGACAATGAGTTGAGGATAACGATGAAGAGCTACTTGTAGGATAAAAACAGCCGTATCTTTTATTCATCGTTTCTGCGTGCGTTTCACTATCATTCGATCCATTTAATGATTTGAAGGATCGTGTATTTGCATCATTTGATCTTACGCTTCTTCATTTTTTCACATGTATATTACATTTAAAGTAGAAAGAAAATGATGAAAGATGATTTCCTTTTCTAGTAAAACGTTAGATATATCCTCTACCGTAGGTACAATATTTCAATTCAGAAAACCAGTAATGTCAATCATTGTCAAAAAATTCCTCTATATTAACATTGCCTATAGTCACATTTTTACTAAATCTACCCAGCTGCATAGATACATATATCATCCCATGAATTTACATAAACTTTTTTTTCAAAATAGTTCCACCAACAGACACTTGAACACTTGAAACTTTTGTACTTATGCTTCCCAGTCACTCATCCCAAAAACGTCATCATACTAAAACGATTGAAAAAAAAAAAAAAAAAAAAAAAAAAAAAGAAACGAGACGATAACAGAATAACAGAAGTAAGAAAAAAGAGGGGGGAAAAAAAAGAAAAAAGAGAAACAGATGGAGAACTATATTGCACCTAATTATATTAGCCATCGGCCGATCCCGGCCGTGTCTCACACGCTTTGTTGGCCCATTTTTTCTGTCTTTATCTATTTTCGTCTTTTCTTTCTCTGTTTCTTCTCTTGCCTTACGTTTTCAATTGAAAAAAGATTCTCTTGTTTTTTGTGCCACCTGTGACCAAATCCAAACTGTGATAATCCGCAGGGCGAGTCAAACGAAACGAGGATAGCCGTGGCGAATCAGCGTGCGCACGCTCTACTCAAGTAAAATGCGTCTCTCTGCCCACGTACCCGTCTCCTCCGAGCCCCAAATAGTCAAACAAAAAAAAAAAACAAAAAAAAAGAATATATATATACATATATATATATATATATATATTTATATACATATGTATATATATGTACATGTATATCAGCTCCAAAATATTGTACGCTCACACGCCCACGACCCCTTCTTCTGCCTTCTCGTCGTCGGTCGGACACCGCCAATCCGTCAACCCAACTCGTTGTCTCCAACTCGATCCACCTGTTTGTGCTACAACGAAAATCATCGAGCCTTCCGGTGTTACATCGATTTGTATATTTACGTGTATTACCTTTATATCTCGCGTACTTAGTGCAATCTCCCATTACACACACGTGTCGTCGTTTAGTTTCTATAATACCCGCGTTATCTTTTTTGCCTCTCGTGTCTAGTTGGTTCTTTCTTTTTTTTTTTTTTTTTTCTTTCTTTATTTACACCATGTAAGATCACAGATGTAATTACATATACAGATATTATACAGTTTTATTATTATCGTACGTACACATACGTACATCTGTGCGCCACACGTATCGTCTAACCATTTCGAATCTTGTCGAACGAAAACCCCGCAGGATCGTCGCCGCCCACGCTCGTCGTCGTCGTCGCTGTCACGGCTCCGTACTCTCCGTACTTCCGGTTTCTCTTTTGACCTTACCTTCCATTCGAACTGGAACGTTCGATCCCGCAGTTTCGATCGCGCTGCGTCGATTCCGCCAATCGGGGACGGAGTTTAAATCGGGCGAACGCCAGCAACTCGTACTCCAGCAAGTAGCACGAGTCAACGACTACGGCGACGACAACGCGGGCGACGAACGAGCGAGAGAGTCTAAAGAGCGCTGAAGCAATGGAAGTTGAAAGAAAAAAAAAAAAAAAAAAAAGAAAAAAAAACAGCCACGCAGAAAACCAAAAATCGTTCAGTTCCGTGAAATAACCGAAGCAGAGCTATCCTTCATCATCGACGTACGTAGTACACGTGTCCGTGCAAACCCGTGAACAAGATCGCAGCTCTCGTCATACAGCATTTACAATACAATACGATACGCGCGCACACGAGCGAGAAGAAACAAAAGGGACAAAAGGTTGCAAAAAAAGGGGAAAAAGGGTAAAAAAAAAAAAAAAAAAAAA